CCCCGCCCCCTGGTGGGCTGAGCTGGCCACACACACACACCACTCTCTCTCTCTCTCTCTCTCTCTCTCTCTCTCTCTCTCTCTCTCTCTCAAATAAAAAAAAAAAAATTCAAAAATTAAAAACTTAAAATTGAGGCTTGAAAATAGATTGCCAACTCTAGAAAGGCACATTGGTGTTTCTTGTTTAAGATAGGGTCTGTCTTGCTATGTAGTTAAGATTAGTTTTAAACTCACTATATAGTCCAGGCTGACCTCAGATTTTCAATGAGCCTCCTGCCTCAGGCTCCCAAACCCTGGGATTCTAGGCTGCACCACTAAACCTGACTCTAGGCATACTCTACTTTGTGGGTCACAGTGCCTACCTAGCTAGGTATATAGTCTAAAGGTACTTAAACTCTGTTCCTCAATTTCATTATCCTCACAAAGAAATGTACATAATAAATACCTGTCAGGGCTGGCAAGATAGCTCAGCAAACTAAGCGCCTGCTTAGGCAACAGGGTTCATCCCTGGTCTGTATGTTGTGCTGGCCTTGCCCTCTCCCCCGGAGGCACACCGAGCCAGGCATGGTGGGACCCTGTACCAAATACATAAATTAAAAATAAATAAATAAATACCTGCTATATGGGGTTTGTGAAAATACATGATTAATCTAGAAAATCATATATGAAAGTATTAGTAACTATTATTATTCCTAGGTAGATGCTCATCTTACTGAGCTATATCCCCAGCCCAATTATTCCTGAAAATAACATAAAACAAATCGCAAAGTCCTCATACAGTGAGAGAATATCATAAAATATTACATGGGAAGGCTGGGGATATAGCTCAGTAATAGTGTTGGCTTAGTATAATGGGAAGCCTTGAATTCAATCCCTAGGGCCCCCTTAAAAGATTACAAGAAATAACATGAAAAAATGTTGCCTTTTAGGCAAATACAACTTTTCATAAAGTAAATAAGCCTCAGTTTTTTGTTTCATAGCTCATTTTCCACTTAAGATAAATGAAATGTGAGTACAAAACAACAACAACAACAACAAAAAACCCGTTA